CCTCTGCAGATTTTTCTTCACGATGGAGCTGCTGGGCTCCATGGAAGCCTCTCGTTTACTTTATTTTGTGTTTGCGTGTGTGTTTTCTTGTCATTGTGTCTTTGGCATCGCCATGACCACAGGTGGGGGAGGGGTCATACTCCCTCTGTTCACCTCACTTTCACAGACAGGGGAGTTTGAACATGCTGCAGCGTTTGGTTCCTCAGCTTGTGCCCTTCTCTGCAAGGTGCTCGTGGTCTGTTTCTCTCAGGCTTGGGGCTTCCTGATTTTCTATTTTTTAACCGTCTCACGCTGACACCCACCCCTCTTCCCAGCTATACCTTTCCTTTCTTAATTGTTCCTCTGACCAGGCTGGCTCCATCCATCATTAGGTTATTCTTGAACCCGCTCACATCTTGTGGATCCTGCCTAAGCAAGAAGATTGTAGCCACCTCAAAGAAAAAGCCACGTCTTTACCGTTGTTTACATCCGTCACTGCCGCCATCGTGATTTGCTTACGTTAGTCTGCCGAGTCCTGTATTCTTTCAATTACAATATGTAATTGCAAATGTAAAATCCGACTGATTTAATAACCGCTTTTGCAGGGATGGAGAGAAGAAAAGGGAATCTTAACTATACCTGTTGAGCATGAGATACATCCTGCTTTTAGCAATGTCCAAATATGCTAAACACACAGGTCCACATTCACACAAACGTTACACACTCGTGTGTGTGCACACAAGGCGTCTTGAAAGTGAGGAGATATGGAACTGACTGGCTTCCAGATTTCATAAGTTCACTTATTAGTACTGCCCAGCATGAGATCATTTATTTTGGTTTTTACTATTTCAACCCATTACTATTTTTCTAATATAACACGTTAGTGTGAAATGTCATTGGCAAAGAGAGACGGCAGAGTTATTAAAGATGGCCCTTCGGTGCCCGTGGGGACAATTGCAGTCCAGTGGTGACTTTGAAATAATGAAGACCATCGTCCCAGAACACTCACGCTCAGTCCGTGGCTCCCTGGCCCTGAGCCTGCCCCTCTTCCTGCCCTGTCCCACTCATGTCACAGTCACTGGACTTTGTCCCCGCTCCATACATTCTGCGTGCAGTTATTTCTAGGGAGACTGATTCCAGCTTACTCTTCCAAACCACTCCCCTCCTGAGGCTGGCTCTGTGACTCCTAAATTTAAATAAGTTCCCAGTTACACCTTTCCCAGCACTGCCTACTATTTCGTGATTCATTCGACAGTTACTGAGCGCCAAAGATAGCCGAAGGCCCGCTCTAAGCACTGATGGAAAAGCTGTGACTAGATCGGAAGCAGATCTCTGTCTCCGTGGAGCCGGAGTTCCGGGGGAATAGCGAAGTGCACGTTATTTGAGGCTTCACTTTGTGCATACTGCATATCGTATCTAATAACTTTCAGTAAAACTGGGTGACGGTGATTATTATACTTATTTTCCAAAGGAAAGGCAGGCTTGACTTAAACAAAGTGTGCCAGGTCACAGAGCAGGTAAGGGACAACCCCAGCCGGGCAGCCTGGAACCCAAGTCTCGCTTCTCTTCCCATGCTGCCTTGGTACCTGAGTGCGCGAATGAATGCATTTCTCAGTATTTTCAGACCTCTCGATTTTTCCCCTTGACCAATTGTGTAATCCATGGTTTGGGATGCCAGGCATATCATTGAGACAAAGTCATTACTGAGAAATTCAAAGCTATCAGTGCCCGAAATGACCATGATGTTCTCACACCGGATCTCATCTTCCCAACGGGTCCAGGAGAAGCCCAACTTAAACGCATTGTTTTACCTTCGCTGCGTTTCCATCCCTGGCTTCCGTCAGTGTGAGGCCGCGAGGGAAGACTGTTGGGGCATTTGGGACCACTTTGGGTGCCGGGAAAGCATCCGAGGGAAAAATCAGTGGGTAAAGAGAAAAGGGAGTCCGGAGCGTTAAAAGTCAAATCGTGTGTTTGTGGTTCTGCCGGGGACGGACCCGTTAGAACGCCTTTGTTCTGCATTATGTTTTCTCCAGGGATGAGAAGCAGATGTTGCTGAGGTTATGTAAAACCATTAGCCCGTTTGATGTGCTTTTCTTTTTACTTCCTTTCCTTTCCTCTCTCTTTTTATTTTTTTCCCGTTTTCTTACTTGCCTCGGGGAGTTCACCCACTTTATTATTTTGACGAAGGCTTGTCGTAAGATTTTTAATGGATTTAAAGCTGCTTATGAAACGTAAGCAAACAAATTTAATGGGACAGAGTGAATGAAATAAAAGAACTCAGGGGTTGCGGTGATAAGAGACCGTATGGAGGAGCATCTGAAGGTCAGTTCCTGGGTCGCGCTGTCCCACTGAAGGACATGTGCCTGTGAACGGTATGGACAAAAGTCCCACAGTTCAAGCCAAAGGCCTAACGGCTGTCCTATTTACATCTCTTTAGTGCGTTTCTGTCTCTTTAATGCAAACCGGTGGCCTCCTGGCCAGATCAGGTTATAGGGGAATTTGGGCCCCCATAGCTTAAAAAAATGGAATAAATTGTCAACATTAAATATTCAGCTTATTTCACATAAAAATCAAGTTTTCTGGCTTCTCTTAAACAATCAGAAGCTGTGGCCACCTCGGGCTCATATTTCCCCATGGGATGACTTGACGAAGGCTGACGGTAGGCTTACTCCCTCTGCTCTGTGTCGTGGTGCGTCCAAGCCACGTCATCCATTCATCGTCTGTGTCTGTTCCCTGATGGGATAGGATTTGAGATGGTGACTCCTGGCCTATTCTGTAAGTGGTGGGTGGTGTGTGTGTGTGTGTGTGTGTGTGTGTGTGTGTGTCTGTCTGTCTGTCTTGCAGATCCTCAGGTGGAGGCAAAAAGAATCTGTGGTCTGTGTACTTAATTTAAGGAAGACTACTTGATATACAGTGGCTTTGATCTCATTCGTTTTTGATCACAATGATTATTTAGAAATTCAAATGTCAGTAAAGGAGGGTTGTGGATTCATTATGTTTATCAAAAGCAGACATTGGATAAAGAGCGATTGTCAAACAGTAGGCTTTGCCAGTTAGTGGGTCATAATATAGATTTAAGCATTTTACCACCGGCGCTAAAAAATAAAATAGTATAGAAAACATCAGCATGTTATAAATTGATGACAAATAAATAGATGGCTAGGTAGACAGATATACTGACTCGTAATCTAAACTGTATTTATTACCGTGGGTTGCAGCTGCAAAAACTTTAAAAGCTGCTGGATTGTCAAGTTTGAGAAACACAGTTGCAGGGTCTGATATTAGGCAATTATCCTGCCACCGTTTGCGAGGAACAGGGTCTTTATCCTCTCGAGAACCAGGGTTGGCATAGAAGTAAGTTAATAAATAAGCACCTCGGCCCTAGGGGAAACAGAAGCTCTCTTCTTCCTCTTAAAGGATCGAGGTTGTGTCCTTCTCTCAGCAAATTATATTTCCATGTTTAATGGAAAAAAGTTATGAAAAACCCTCACAGGATTAGGTGCCAAATAGTAGGGTCAAATTCGTATGGTGGAGTAAATATGGAGTGCATGGCGGTGAGCAATGAAATATTTGAATAAGTCTTCGGGAAGACAATGGGACTTGAGTGAAAACACTTTAGTTATTAGTTTTTCATTCTTTGTTGGATTAGAATGACTTAATAATTAAAATCACGTCATCTGCCTCATGAGGTAGTTCTTTCTCTTAGTTTATTGAAAGAGCCATCTGGTTTTTTTTTGTTTTGTTTTGTTTTTTTCTTTTTCTTCTCACATAGCCCATATGACTGGAATTCAAGCCAGGCAGGTTTTGACCAATTGCATGCACCGTGATATATGTGCCGAAAACTGCCATATGGCTGTGTTTTGGGCCAACTGTGGAAAATTAGATAAGGATGAATCTATTTTTATTGCATTAATTGCCTAGACTGAGGTAGATACAATAATTAACAGTCGCTTGGGTTGAAAATTTGCTTGGTTTCCACGTCGCCTTAAACAGTTCTTCGGATGTGAGAAAAACTCAGGCGCCAAAGCCGGTATTCAATTTTTCAGCAAGAGATTCTGAGATGGATGGAGTGGAATTAGATCTTAGAATAATTAGGTTCTTGAAAACAAACAAAAACAACCTGTTAGTTTCCTGTCGACATACATATATATCAAAATCAGAACTTTAAAAAGTATTGTTGCATATAATTTTTCCTATGTTCTTTAAAAATATTTCGAGTAATTAAATATATTTGGTAATTATATATATTACATATGTAGACACACACTAAAATGTATTTTGCAATTAAGAAAACATTGATTTGGTTCTTGCCTAATGGTGTATACAGATCTCCTGTTATTAATGGAATTCATTTCTGCTCAAACCGTCTTGGTGGAGATGCTCTTCCTCTTAATCCTCACCTTTAATTAGCAAACCCAAGCAATTTCCCTTCGGGGATTTCTCCTATGTTCTACGCATTAATTCAGCACAGTCTTAATCATTAAAAAAAAAAAAAAAATTCTCCACTGCATTCGATCCATCACGTTGAATGGAAGCTGGAGTGAAATTTGACCTATGATTTTGGAAATGAAAGAATGCTTAAAGCGTCATCTGTGCAGAGAGGTAGAACAGAATCCGAGCGTCAGAGGACCCTTCTCTTAACCTCTGAGCTGAGTGGTGTCATGTGTGATGAGCCCCCGATTGCTGGACTGTCAGGGGAATGCAGTCACAGGGGTTCCCTCTTTGAGAGTGGTAAGCTCAAGTACAGGGACTAGGCGAAAAATCAAGACGTGGCTTTTTTATTAACCTTTTTGACAAAAACAAAAAACAAAAACAAAAAAACCAGCACAGTGTTAGCCTAGAGTGGTGGGTTCCTCATTCACTGGGAATTTCGATTCCCGTTGACTGTTTAGCAGGCGGCAACGAGAATCCTCGTCTCATACAGGGTAAGTGGATCTGCTTTCACGGAGCATTCTAGGCTCTCAGGGCGTGGGCCTCGTGGGGGCTGGACTTTCAGAAGCGTCTTGCTTTTGTTTTCACAGGATGTGTGAGACTGGCGAGGGGCTCTTTATCTTTCAGACGCGAGACGGGGAGACCATCTACCAGAAGGTCCACTCTGCTGCCTTGGCGATCGCCGAGCAGCACGAGCGCGTGCTGCAGAGTGTGAAAAACTCCATGGTACGTTTGGCCCTTTTTTTTTCTTACAAGCCGGTGTGCACCGCTGCCCGATGTGACCTTTGTGCTGAAAAATACAGCCAGTGCTATTTGAGCAGGAGGTTGACGCGCATCCTTACCCACATATCACTTGCATTAAAAGCCATCCTGGCAATGCCCAAAGTAGCCAGTTGGTCACAGAGTGACGCCCCATCCCTGCCTATTTGCTTTGTGCCTCAATTATTATATGTGTGTCTTCATCACTTTGGGCTCCCACAACCAATTCTGTAGACTGGGTAGCTTTTAAACAACAGAAATTGATTTATTTCTCACTGGGAGGCTGGTACGTCCAAGGTCAAGGTGCTGGCAGAGTCGTTGTCAGGGGGGCTTACTTCTTGGTTCATAGACACTGTCTTCTCTCTCTGTCCCACATGATGGAAGGGAGCTCTCTTGGGTCCCTCTGTAAGGACACTGATCCCATTCGTGAGGGCTCTGCCCTCATGACCTAAACAGCTTCCAAGGGCCCCGCCTCCTAATACCATCAGCTTTGGGGTTAAGATTTCAACCTATAAATCTGGGGCGGGGGGAATAATCATTCAGTCCCTTTCAGTGAATATGTATACCAAAACCACTTTGGATGAGGATAGACATCGATAGACGAGGATATCTGGGTTATTTGCCTATAGATATGCATTTACAGCTATGTCATAAGCTGTCATTTCAAATATCAACGGAGGTCAGAGGGGAAATATAAGTGAGAGAAGAAGGGTGAGGGGAAACTGGAGTGAAGTGTCAAACGCCAAGGACCCGACAGCTGTTGACATGGGACTGTGGAATGCATGGAGGAGATCTCTTGATTTTTTTCCAGGGAAGCCAAGGATTTGAGTCTGTATATCATATCTTCCAGTCTGTAACAATTGGAAATTAAGTCTAGTTAAAACCAGAACTGTCACACCTGATGGCCAAAGTAAACCAGTCTATAGATGCCTTCTTGCCCGCAGCCATGCATTTGCCATCCCTGGCTGGTAAACCTTCATAATCTTCGACGTATAAAGACACCACAAACACAGGTACTTGTGAAGATCCACAAACACTCTCTCAGAAATATCTACCCTGTTCATTGCATTGTACTAGGGATTGTGACTTGTACAGAGAATTATGATTCTTGAGTTTCTTCTTTAAGAATAAATTCACGAAATCTTAATTGAATGTAGAAGAGTTAAATAATGCAAATCGTGCATCATGGCCGGGAACACATGCAGAGAGCTGCACATGGAGAAGGAAATCTGTAAAACCAAAAGGAACTGAGTAGGCATGGGAAGGTGAGGGTAGTTTGAAACTTATGGTTTAAACGTGGGATGGTTGGATGGAAAGAGGGAGAAAAGCATGCCAGTAATATAATCTGTCCCAAAGCAGCCCCAGATTATTCCCAAATGACTTGTGCATGCAGGGCTCTGAGATTTTAGGGCAAGAATCAGCAGAACTTTCTCTGAAGGGCCAGAGAGTAAATGTCTGAGGCTTCGTGGACTAAGGTGGTCTCTGTTGTAACTCCTTAACTCTGCTATCATAGTGTCAAAGCAGTCTCAGGTAAAACATAATCAAACGGCTGTGGCCGTGTTTCAAAAAAACCTTATTAATGGACAATGAAATTCAAATTTCATGTAATTTTCACATACAATGAAATACTTTTTGATACTTCCTCCAGTCATTTAAAAATGTTCTTTTTGATCAAATGCGGTCTTGGTATCCACTTCCCCATATGCTTACCAGTTCTGAATATTGCAATAGAGATGGTTGGATGGATGGATGATGGATGGATGGGTGGGTGGATGGATGAAAGAAAGGAAGAAGGATGGAAAGAAGTGTAGATAGGTGAATGAATGGATAGATGGATGGATAGATAGATGATAGATGACAGATAGATAGATAGATAGATAGATAGATAGATAGATAGATAGATAGTAGATAGATGATAGCTAACTAGATAGCTAGCTAGCTAGATAGATGGACAGTAGACAGATAATTAGATAGCTAGCTGTAAAGTAGAATTCAAGTCACCGAATTTATAGGGCAACATGTAATTGCATTAAAGTTGTGTAGCTATTCCATTAGATGTCTTTAAACATCGGAGGAGATTTTTCCAAGATTACCTTATTTGTAAAGCCATCAATTAGCATAAATTGTTATGTGTTTGAAAGGCAGATTCTGCAGGCACATGTTTTTCCATTTACAACCTTCTCATTACTTCCGCTAAAAATTAATCAGGATTATGAGTAATTCGTTCAGATCATCCCCTTGCAAGCTTAACTGGAAAATAACATTTGCTCTTAATTTGTTGTATGTTTAACGAGTTCTATAAAATGAATGTGATTTTTAAAGCAACAGCTTCCTGTTTTAGATGGAAATGAGTAAGCTTCAAACTGAGATCTGAATCTCAAGGAAATTAAACTGGGGATTGTGAAACGCTTAAAAGCAATGTACTTGAATCAATTTCTGATCAGGGGAGAGGAGTACCACGCTAAAATGAAGACAACACTACTGGCCACCTTCCCTAAGTTACAGTTTTGAGTTTTCTGATAATTGTAAATGAATCCACACAGATCTATCTATATTCTCAACTCGACATTGCCTTTGTGCCACTGCCGGTTTGCCTGTCTGAGACAGTCAGGGGCATAAATGAGAGAGATCGTGAAGTGGACCTCTGGGCTTTACCTCATTATAAGGAAGCCCTGACCAGTGTGAGCTGCCCCAGACTTCATCTACAGACAGAAGGCTTCCCTGTGGGACCCATGCCAGCTGGAAGTGGCAGCCTTGAGTGAACTGGTTTGGATCAGACTTGTGAACCTGAGTCCTACAGGACATAAAGAGGAAGCTTGTGGGTTGGATGATAATAATAATAATAATAATAATAATAATTACTCTTATTGTGATAGGCTGAATATTGGCTCCCCAAAGATGTCCACATTCTAATCCCTGGAGCCTGAGAATGTTATCTTATATGGAAAAGGGACTTTGAAGATGTGATGGAGTTAAGGCTCTTGAGTTGGAGAAGATATCCTGGATTATGCAAGGGTACACAATGTCATCACAAGGATCCTTGTAAGAAAGAAACGAGAGTCAGAGGCAGACAGAAGGTGATGTGGTGTTGGAAGCAGAGGGACAGAGAAAGATTTGAGGAGTCTGTGCTGATGGCTTTGAAGGTGGAAGAAGGGGACATGACCCACAGGATGTAGGTGGCCTCTAGAAGTTGGAAAAGGCAAGGATTCTCCCCTGGAACCTCCAAAAGGAACCACCTAGGGACACCTTGATTTTAGCCCAGTGAAATTGATTTTGGACTTCTGGTCTCCAGAGTTGTAAGAAATCAATTCTGTGTTGTTTTAAGCCACCAAGTTGTGGTGATTGGTTATAACAGCTGTAGGAAGCTAATACACTAATAATATCAATAACGATGAAAGTATATCCTGCCTCTACTCTGTAACAGAATCTTTCAAGGACCTTCTGTGTACTTACTAACCCTCACAATGACGCTTGGATTGAAGGTCTAAGGACACCAGCTTGGAAGTAGCAGGGTTCAAAGTTAGAGCAGCTTTAACCTGCTAGGATCGCCCCCAAATTACACTTTCTCTCTAAATAAATTACACTTTCTCTCTCAAACATATTTCCTTTGCCCTGCATGAAATCATCTCACTGCTGTTCTAAAAATTCCAAATCACTGGCCAACATTTAAAAATTAAGGTTTCCCATAAAACTCAGATTTCTGTATTATCTTGGAAAGTGAAATGCCTGGCGACACTGGTTTCACGTTCACACGTGGCAGCAGTCAGACACGCCCAGGACTGTCTGTCCTCCTGAGATAGAATGGGAATCTTCAGTTTCCCTAGTCCAAATCACATCCTGTTGTCAGTCAGCAAGTGGTCCTTCTCAGGGCATTTGCTACCCAGGCAGTGGCCAGTTGATGTCTTACCTGTGCCGTTGCATTGACAACCTCATGTGAATTATTACCTATAAAATTTCTATGGCTGCATAACAAAGTCCCTTAAGCCACGCACCGCAAATCACACCTATTTATCATCTCATCGTCGCTAAGCCGGGAATTGTAGCCTGGCTTAGCCGGCCCCAGCTTCAGCCCCACAAGGCCGTGATGCAAATGCCAGCTGGGGCTCCAGTCTCGTCTGAAGGTTAGACTGGGGAAGAACCGTTTCCAAGCTCACGTGGTTATTGATGGGGCTGAGTTCCTTGTGGCTGTGGAATAGAAGCCTTAGTTTCTTGTTGACTGTTGTATGGAGGCCATTCTTAGCTCGAAAGTTCCCACCCTCGGTTCCTGTCACATGAGCCGGTCCAGCCACTTACTTCCTCAAAGCCAGCAAGAGAGAGCATCTTCTTGCAAGGTGGGGTTCACAGTTCTATCTGTTGTGATCATGGAAGAGACATCCCATCACCCTGTCTTAGTCTATTGATTAAAAGCAAGCCATAAGCCTTTGCTTCAGTCAGGGAAGGGACCACACACAGTCTTGAACACCAGGAGGAGAAGATCATGGGACCACCTGGTGTTTGTCCCCAAACCACGCAGACTGCCGGGATAATGTTTACTCAGAGCCTTGATTTTATCTTTCTAATACTTGCCCTACTTTCCGGTGTCTTGCTAATCGTATGTATTTATTGAACATCTGCTGTATACCAGGCTCTTTGCTAATAACAGCCACTACCATTTATCAGCACTCATACAATACGCCAGACACATTTTACTTGCTTTCTCTCTAATCATCACATTATCTCCGTGCAGTAGATTCATTCATTCTCATTCATTTGTTCATTCAAAAATGTTTATTAAGGACCTGACATGCTCTGTTATGTGCTATCGAATGTAGTGGTAATTGACAGGGGAGGCGCATGCCTCTGCAAGTAGGTATTTGATAAAAGGTTTTTGTCAAATTGTAATTTTGTCAATTGTAATAGTACAATTCCAGAGACTGTTACTCATGACCCTTGACTCGGAAGGAGTCCCTGTCACATAGATGAGAAAA